CTTAATAAAAATCCCTTGAAACTCGGCTACCATTATAAATTTCTGAAGCGAATCTGCGTGTTACAAGAACACCGGGGGGAAGGAGACAAGCGGAACCAAAGAAATGTAAATGGAAGCCGAGCAGCAAGGCAGCCAGGCTCGGGCTGAAAAGACACCTAAAATCTACAGGAATGTGTTTACCATTACCAATCAAAAACAGGAGAAAAAGCAGACCGTGACAATTATTAACACACCAGAGCACAGCCAGGCCTGCCAAGTAACGGGTCAAAAGGGGGGACGGAGGAAAATTAAACAAACTGCGTTATTTATGTGACACGCATGCAGAGCCATTGACACCTACCGGACGGGCACCCAGCAAACTTTATACAACCGCAGGTGTTTCAGCACTTCATTAAAAGCCCCCAACCCCGACGCACCGATTCAGAGTAAACTTTACAGAAAAACACAAAATCCAAAAAAACGCGGAATCTGAAGTTTTTTTTTTTTTTTTTTAAAAAACGCCTTTTAAAGTGTTTCTGTCAAGGTGTCACGTTTGAATTATGGGTCTCCTATTAAAAAGCCGGACTGATTTGGGACAAGCCCCCACGCCCTGGTTTAAAAAAATGTGGCCGGCAGGATATGCACCAGAGCAAAGTAGCAAGAGACGGGAGAAAACACCCCCCCCCCCCCATCTGCCCTTTTCTTCATAGAGGCGAGAGTGCTAGTGCTGTATTGGGTGTCTATGTGATTGAACCCGGGGCTGTCCTCAGCATCCCCAATTTACAGAGACTTCATTTTCTACGGTTATTGTCTATTCGTGTCTTTTCGACTCCGATCCAAGTCTGTACGGAATTGCTATTACAGCCGTGACAAGTAACTTAAACACACAGACACACACTAGGCAGCTACTTGAAGACTGAAGTGCACCGGGGATATGCGAATATACATGTAAACTCACGAATTAATATAAACATAATCGTATGTACAAAATACCATCTAACAGCGGGGCCTAGCCAGACTTACCAGTACTCAGAATATACCCAGTACTCTAACAGAATAAAACGCCAGCTGCTACCATCAGGATTAAACAATGTCCAATAAGCATCAATACTCCGATTACATTTAGAATTCTTTTTAACCCGGAGAAATATCAAGAATAATTCACTGATAAAACCTCGGGTTGGGCATAACGTCCAATCAAGATACCGGAATCGGCGCAATTAAAGGTGCGATTTTTTATTTCGATATTACCAAATAAATAAGGGGAAGGACAACAAATAAAATGTTAGGTCCTCGCTTCACTGAGATTTTCATCAAAGTGCCGAGCCTATAAAGAAATACACGCGGGGAAACGTTTGATCATCTGAATGTGACAAAAACTAAACGGATATAATCTATCGCGCATCAAAACAAGAAAACTAACCAGGGGATATTTGCTGGACGCAAGAGGGAGGGAGAGAAATAACAGCCATCGCATCAGCAGGCCTTTCGTCCACAGAATGAAATTGCGGACTCGAATTCGCCGCACATTTCCCCTCCTGCGAGATCCACTTTTTATTGCTCTGTTCATTGCGATCCTATCACTTAATTTCGACAGTTTACATTAATCTCCACGAAAGTGCAAGCCCTGCCTTTGCTCGAGCTGCGTCCTTTGACAAAAGCCCCGTTTAGCTCCTTTTGGTGGATTAAAATGAAAGCAGAAAGACTGATACATACCATAGCATTCCTCGCCTCTCTGCCCTTCTCGTTTCTCTCGGGTTCGCGCAGGCAGCAGCCCCAACCGGCTCGGAAAATAAATTAATAAAGAGAACAAGAAAAAAAAAATACACCTCCAACAGGCGCAGAGATTTCTATATTTTCCTTTTTCGGTCGGTTGACAGATTCTTTTTCTTCAAGTCTCCATTATTATAAGCACGAAGTTTTTAGTACCATTTTCTGTTTTTCGATCTTTTTTTTCCTTCTGACAAAGCAAAGCAGCCCACAAAAAAATCTTCAGAATCTCGATGCCTCGCTCAGAGGAAATCTGTCTTCTCGTAAGAAAAAAGGGCGTTAAAAAAAAGCTTGTTTCACTGTGTCTTCCTCGGGACTCACCACGTTGTTTTTTGGCCAATTATTATTCCCTTTGTTATACCCATAATATGCTGAGTTGCTCATGTATATTCACGGAATTTGCTGCAGTTCGCGGCGCACTATTTCGTCGCTGAATGATGCAACCTCCCAATATTTTGTTTTCAGATACGTGCGTTTGACATGAGACTGCGTATGTATGTGAGTATGTGTAAGTGTGTGTTTTTTCAGCTTCCCAATAATGGCGGCCCTTCTTCCGAATCCAGATTTCCCCTCCTTCTGTTCCGAGAGAAAAAGGGAGATAGAAAGGCGACTAGGACTCGCCCAGTGGCGCATGGACACAATTGCAACACACATTCACAAAACAATATATGCATTCGCTAAGGGAGCGAAAAGGACTCGAAATGTCTGCAACCACTAGCATTGACTCTGTATTTCTAGTGAATTTTTATATTGATAACTTTTCTGAGGATCGTTAATTGGCAATTGTTTGTAATGGCTATTTGTGTGGTCACTAAAGGAAATAATGAACTATTTGCGTGGCTTGCATAAGTAAACACCCTTAAAATAATGGCACATGTACTATGCTTAAGTATGATACCCATTTTATGTCTATATTTGCATTTCGCGTCTGTCTGTCGTATGCCTTAAAACTTCCATTCTCAGTGTGCTGTTTCGGCTGCGTTGCGTTCGATACACTTCCATGGGCTGCCAAGGCTTCTCTATCTCAAGTCGGCATTACTTAGATGCCCTGTCCACGTTTCGCACCACCATAACCACAGCGGTGAACATATTTATTGAGAGATGCAATGCTTGACGTCCATTTATTACAGTGTATCACACGCAACGCTGAATCACTTATCACTGTCTCTCACATCAGTGCACAAAGAATTTATGTAGGAGACAAGCAGATACCCTTTGGAACGTTCGCTTATCGACGTCAGAAACTATGTATAGACAACGTTGGCAAACTATACGTCACAGTCTATGAGAAAATCAATAATGTCAATGTTGTTTTTCTCCGCTTTATCGCAATAAATTTTATTTGGAAAAACTACATTTTCTCTTTTCCGTGGAACATATATATTTTTTTCAAATAAATATATTCAGTGTTGTTAAGACATGATTAATACATTATATAGCTGTGCATTTAAAGACAACGAAAAACAACTGATATACTGAATGACCATCCTATAATCCTTGTATATTAAGCAAAAATTTGGACAACACAAACATTTGATTAGACGTCTCAGAACCCAGTTAGAACATTGATGTTCAGTATATGCTCATTATATATTGACATAATTGTTGTCTAACAAAGCCAACTTATTAATAGGAAATTTGTCAGACCTGACTTTAGACTACTTATTGATCTCACTCACACACGTTGCCGGTAATGACTTTTAAAAATGTGTTGTAATTATGTATCTTTTCTGAAAAACAAATAAGTCCATCCATGTGTTCATTCATCCATATTTCTACCCATTTTTTATAATCAGTTATTTGGTCATGGTGACCAAACAAAAAAAAAATCACATCTTATCAATACAGTGTTTTTTTCCATTTTAGAAAAATACACTCTGCAAATCAATCACTGCTAAGATAAGAAAATTTGACTCAAAATTTTAAACCCTCAATGGCTGCTGTGATCAAAAAAACTTACAGTGTCTGATTACTAATATGTCCAGGGTTTTTGCAACAGGGTAAATATTTGGTCTGTGTAAAGGGTCAAAGATTAAACTTTACAGCTTGCCTTTTGTACATTTTCTCATTTCAGTGCTTTGCAATTAAAAGACACATGTATATAAGAAGCAAAAAGATCTGATCTATAATCAAGGGAAATGCTGAGTTATATTCATTACGTTCCCCAGTTCACTCCATAAAGGTTACTTTACCCCTGGTTGTTCACTATTAGTTGGTCAGTTTTCAGCCAAGCTATGTTACCGAAGTAAATAATGCTGCAGATTGTCCACATTTCCAGAGGGCCGTCCTCACAGTTCAGCTGACCCCCTCTATCCCCCCACAGTACTCCAGCAGAAATTTCCCAAGGGGGGCTGCACATTCTTCTCACTCACAGTTTTGCAATCCCTGACAATCAGTGAGACCTCCACCACCACCACCCCCACCCCCCCAAAAAAAGCACAGAAGAGCTATGCAGGCTGTCTGGATAATGTTCAGTTGTGGGTGTTTCCTGCTAAACAATCCAACAGACCGACTGAAACTTTATTTTCTCTGTTATGGAAACAGTTGGTGATGTAATGAAAAGCTGACTTTAATTACATGTGTTTATGTATGTATGGTAGCACACCGTTTAACCTTTTCTCATATACACTACAATTATTTAATTCTCCTTAAATCTCTGCAGACTGCATGTATGCAAGTTGGATCTAAGTCTTACATTGACTTTAACAGGAAAAATTAATAACATTACTAAATATTAATAAAATCACTTTGTTTTGATTGTACTGCAACGCTACATTAGTGGGCCTTAAAATTGCGACGCTATATCACACGGATAATGTTCTTAACTTTCTTTTACTCGCGTAAAAAAAATCACACGGTTTAAAAGACCACGTTTTCTATTAGACATGTGACGTAGTAAACTTTTTTTCGGGCGAGGACGATAGGACACGGATTTGACACTGATATTTCAGCAAGCGAAAACGTATTTTAGGCAAAATAATACTGTAAGAACGATTAAAGTTTAATAAATACATTTAAGTGTAATCGATGACAAAATGAACTTTAAAGCATCGGGTAAAACATCCAAGATTCAAAATTCACGAGACTTTTGCTTCCACCGCATCATATCAGAATAACTGATCTAGCAGATCGACTTAATTGCCGAATACAGCGCTTAGGCAGCAAACTAGTAGACCGTGTATCCTTGTAATTGCAGTACAATATAAAAGGATATCCCTTCGGAATTTGACAACGCGTGCCTTAAACTAAACTACATTACCCAGAATGCCGCCCGAACGTCGTTTCAGGACATCCGGTGAAGAGGAGACGGCGGAGATAAGCAAGAAAGGTCTTCTCATAGCGAATACATAATTACCAAATTTTATGCTAATTTGATATATAGGTTACGGCATATAGTTGTTTTATACTTCTTGAACTAACTGTCACCAGAGAAGTACAATGGTAAGTGTCTTTTTTTGGTATTTTCGTTAAGGCTAAAGCTGACTAGCTAGGTAGCTAAATGAATGGAGGGAAGGCCGACGCGCAGCGCGTGACACTAATGAAATGTAGCTACTTAATTTTACGTTGTATAAGGTGCAGATATGCTTAACTAGCCAGTGAATAATTTGTACTGAAAGTATAAATCGTTATTGACTAGACAACGTTAGTAAAATGACACTGAGAAATTGGGACTCAGGGTGCGGTTCGTCTTCTGTCACTTACGCTTTAAATGCATTGATGTTTTGTAATTTAGCTAAATCGAAATAATCTAATTTTCCAGAATACAACATTTGAGTTAAGACTAAAGATGTGGGAACACTCCGCCGGGTTATAGGTTATTCCCGTTCTGTGTTTTGTCGCTTAACTTCGTTATCTGCAGCAACATTTGCTTATCAAGGATCGGGCATATGGTTAATTATTATCGGCTTTTTTTCTGAATGTGGGTGGTCGTGCAGTAGAGTTTTAACTAGAATTATATGAGGAATTCGGAATTGCATGTTGTGAGGCGACTTTTATCCTTTTGACAGATTTTCCCATACATCCGGCGCGTCTAAACGTAAACATCAACTGACTTTTCGGAAAATAGTCGGCCATTGCACTTTTTCTCAAAGTAGGCCTAATGGATGTTTAACTACATTCTCTCTCCTTCATGATAACTGCCCCATGGCTTCCAGGAAACCTTTGGGATTGGAGACAATGCCAAAAATAATTAAATAACTACACAGATCCAGGATTTTTTTCCCACCCAAAATTACGTACATTGCAAGGCTTTTGTGTGGTAAACGATTTACCTGTCCGTTAGTTTGGTGAAAACAGTACTTCAGCTTCTGAGCATAGGCAGTTATTATGCATTTTGTGAACTAATATCAATTTTTAAAGAATTTTGACATTTTAAGGTATTTTCCCCAAACTTCAACTAGGTAAATGTTAATCTGAAATGATTTCTTACTTTATGTATTCCAGCTGTTGGTGTAGTTTAAGAAAGCGCTTTCTTTTTTGTTAGTTTTATGTAGAGTGTAATCCAGAGGGCCACCAGCATGATCAGGGATCCATCCCACCTCTCCCACACCTTCTTTGCCCCTCTGCCATCTAGTAGAAGGTTCTCGAGCATCAATGCCAGAACAGCGAGGCTTAAAAACAGCTTTTCCCAAAACCAGTTCAACTGCTGAACAGTCTGACTTCTACCAGTCTAAGACTGGATCTCCTGAATTGACTGTGTACCGGAATCATAACCGTAACATAAATTTAAACTGTGCACATTCAGTACTATAACAATAATCTGTTATTGCACATTCTGGCCATTATAGCTCATGCCCATTTGCACACCTTTATATGTAAAATATTTTAAACTTTCCCATTGTATTTATCTGTTGACATCTTCATCCATGCCTCAGCAGACCATGTTTAAAATGTCGTTTATATTCCATTTATCCATTTCCATTTATCACTGTTTTTCTTGCACTATGACCGATGAGACTAATTTCATCTCAGCATATGACCGATGGATCATACAGCTGAAGATGACAATAAAGATACTTTGACGTGAAGGCAATCATAAATTTCAGTGTAGGTGTTTCTACTTTAAAAAAAAAAAAAAAAAAAAACTAGGATTTTAACTGCCATTCTTGATTATCACTTATTAAAGAACCATGGAGAAGCTCGTTCCTTGAGCTGAATGACATATTGTAATCTAATTTTTATGATTGATTAAGGTCATTAGGAAGGAGGTGCCCTTGTTTAGGGTTGGCCAGGAGTTTATTAACTGGTAATTAAGTGATTAAAAAACCGATTACAATGCTGTGTTTTTCTTTTTGGGGGGCAGGGATTCTCCCCCCAAGTTGAAGCCACCTCTGATGTCAGAAATTAAGCAATTTAGCAGTTAGATTTAATTCTCAAACAAAACCACCTTGTTTGTTCTCCATCTGCTTTTGATTCATGACCTGCTTGAGAGAACAGATGGCTTTTCATTGCTGCAATCTGTATTAATGTACAGTATACTGACCCCTCCATCTCTTCCGCTCTCCCTCTTCCCCTCCCTCTCCCACCCCTTTCTGTAGATCCGCTTCATTCTGATCCAGAACCGTGCAGGCAAGACCAGACTGGCCAAGTGGTACATGCAGTTTGACGACGACGAGAAGCAGAAGCTCATCGAGGAGGTTCACGCTGTGGTCACGGTCCGTGACGCCAAGCACACCAACTTCGTGGAGGTACTGTGCCTGTGTAGCTGTTTTGTGTGAGAATGTGGCCGTGGAGTGCATCTGTGATAAAATGGAAAGTTAGATGTGCCCATTGTTTACACATTGCCAGTTTGAAATCAGAAATTGTTCACTGCTTAAGTGACTCCTAAATAATTCCAAGATATTGAACTGTGACCTTTGGAATCGGTTCACTCATGCCAATCAGGTCCTCATTCAGTAGAAAGTACTTGGTTTACCCAAGCACTCTGTAGGAATGTGGGAAAAATGGTTCCTTGGAAAATGTGCCATGGCAGCAAGAAACTTTCTCTAATCCATATTCTGATTTCTACTAATATAAGCCACATTACAATATAAACAGTTTATTTCAAGGTTACATAAATACAATAGTCTGTGGTAATGTTGGGCCAATTGTCCCCAGCATGATTCTCAGAATAAAATGGTGATATTTCTGTCACTCCACCCAATCCTCTGTCAGGGCACATTTTTGATCACTCTTCAGTGTACACTTTTCAGCATTCATCAGATATCGATGAATACTCAACATTTTCGCTGTACTACAAAGATCGTTTTTTAAAACAAAAAAACATGACTGTTAAGAGCATAAGGTTTGGAGTGCAGAATGACCGGTGGTGCTGTCTAATGACTCTGTGACCCCTTATTTTTGTTGTTTTATAGAATCTCACAAAGGTTTATTGCTCTTTTACCCTTACATTCTAAGACCCCTTAAGTTCCTCAAGCACATATCCAGCTATATAAATGTGAGATAAGGTTTTCTTTTTATCTTTTTCACACTGCTTTTCTCGGTGAGAGTCATGGTGGCAGCATACCAAGCAGGTAAGACCAGACCTCGCTCACACGGTCTCAGGTTCCCCAGACACTCTTAAGCCAGGTAGGATATATCATTTGTTCAGCATGTCCTGGGTCTGCTCTGAGGCATCTGCCCAGTGGGATGCCCCCGGAACAGCTTACCTGTCAGCCAAACTGGTGCCATCCTTCCCAGTCTGAATCACCACAGTTGGCTTCTCTTGAACCAAAGGAGCAGTGGCTCTTTTATGAGGTCCTTCAATGTCTCCTGACTCCTCACACTGTCAATGAAAGGGAACCTGCAACCCTGTGGATAAAGTAGTACTTGGGTCCTTGTTTGTTCAGTCATTAAACACAAATCAAAAGAATGGGTGATGAAACAGTGACCAAACTGGTTTGCTTCTCGATCTCACGTTCCCTCTTACCATCACTTAACAAGATCTCGGGATAATTAAATTTCTACACTAAGGGAATACTCTTCCTGTTCACATGAAAGGAGCCATCTACTCTTGTCCAAAAGAATGCCTTGATCTTCAAGCAGAAGGCATGTTAGTTCTAACTCTCTACACCGGATACCTTTTCAGGCACAGGTACGCCTGATATCCTGTTCATGAAAATCACAAACTGCAGCGGAGATGAGTTGTACCCTTGCCGGAGGCCAGTACCCTTTATAAATTACTTCACTTTTGTGCCAAGTATGCAGACACAACTCCTGCTACATTCATACAGGGGCCAAATACAGGCAGTAGCAGTCCCAGTATCACATGATCCTGCAGAGGTTCCCATAGTATGTACCCGGGCATGTGGAACACACCTAGTCCCCCTGTTTAAAACTGAGGATGCCCACCCTGGTTTGCCAGATCAGAGATTCTTTACCCGCTTTCAGTGCAAAATTGAAGAGGTGTTTCAGTCACGTCACCTCAAAATCTGGTGCTTTCAACCTCTTAGGATGGGTTCTTATATACTCCTGCAGCCTTTCCTCCATGGAGGTCCCCAACCACCCAAGCAACTTCCAGCTACCTTTTGGCGAGAATGTATATCCATCCATTGAAGTTTCTCAAAGTGTCTTTTCCACTAATTCACAATATTCCCCAGTAAGTCAGCACTTCCCCACTCCTGCTGAACGCGGCCTGAAAAGGGTCCTTGCCTGTTCCTTCTACGGCTTTGCCGCAACATCTTCGTGGTCACCTGACATGGCCTCTCTGCATGGCCTCTTCAAGCTCCTCATGTACGAGCTTTGGCCTACACAACCGCCTTCCCTGTAGCCTTTCTGGCTTCTCAGGACCGTTCAACTGTCTCTGGAGACGCCCCAAGGAAGTATTGCCCTGACAGCCTCCTCCTTCAGCTTGACTGCTTCCTTCACCATTGGTTTCCAGGGCTTTAGGTAACGGGTGTATTAATCTGACTGGACACTGGCTTTTCAGTGCCGTACAGGTGTTTACACTCACAATTTGATAAGCAGATTTAGTAGTATGCCTAAATTATCAATGAGGTGTATTGTGATGCCCAAAAGTTAGTAATCAGTATAAAATCAGTGTATCCTGTTTATTAAATTCATTTAGCGGAGCACACCACATGCTCCTGTTTTGGTATATTATGGAAGCGGTAAGCACTGAATTGGCGGTGAAGAAAGGGACAGATTAGCAGCCATAACATGATTTAAAGTGGCTTGCACCCGTTATCTGACGCCCTGAGTGTCCACTGGTGGGTCCTAGGGTTACCACCACAACAGATACCATCTGCCTTTTGGCCACAGCTCTTTGAGGCTTCTGAAATTTTTGGCCTCGAACATGGTCTATTCCAGGGGTCTCCAACTCCGGTCCTGGAGAGCTACCGTCCAGTAGGTTTTCTCTCATACCCAGCTTCTGATGAGCCACACCTGTTCTCAGATAAATACCAGGAACAGGTGTGGCTCATCAGAAGCGAAGTGGGACAGAAAACCTACTGGATAGTAGCTCTCCAGGACCGGAGTTGGAGACCCCTAGTCTATTCAGTGTCGCCTTCCACACTCGGCACATGGGAGAAGTTTTGCTAGAGTTGTGTGCTAAATTTATCCCAGCGCGGGGGCTTCGGTCAGACATCCCCAGCAAACCCCGATTGCTCATTTAGGCCGTCCTGGTCCATCTGCCCTCCCCAGGCATTGAATCCAGATCGCTGCCGAGTGCTGATCGGTTCATAATTCTGCCCTTTCAAGCACCTCTGCTCTGCTCAGACTGCATACTGAAACTGCACTTAGATACATACACACAAACTGAGTGCCCCCCAGAACTTGCAGTCTGATAGGTGACCCTCTTGTCCACTGGGAAAAACACCAGTTACACAGCCCTTAGCCTGGAACTTGTTTCCTCATACCCACCAAGTCTTTCCCCGTGGGGAGCTTCAGAGCAGGAGATGCAACAGTGGGTCCTGGTAAGCTTATTCCATGCAGGGTACTCTGCTTAATTTCAGGAGGGTCTTTGTTTTTGATCTTTAGTCTGGGTTCTCCTCACATACCTGTTCAACAAATGAAGCCCTAGGAGGAGATCAAGCTCTGGACAGATTGCTAAACCATGCAAAGCTCTCTACCACACCAAGGTCATGATCCTCAGAGCGGTCAATATGGTATAAACAAATTCCTTAAAATATTATCTATATGTACAGTCTGGTGCTGCTATTCTAAGTAGAATATTGCAATTTGGCTTTGAGCATGAAGACTGCTGACATACAGAAACTAGACAGCTAGACAGACCGCCTCACTAGTAAAGCCGTCAACCACCATGCCTTCTACCATCTGCGTTGACCTCATGTGATGCTTGATGAAGACTGTCTGGAATGCAATAATTCATTGAAATCCCAGTTGCTTAGCCATGCAAAAGTGTTGTTTTTTTCTGTCACTTGTGCACATGTCCTTATTTTCTCTCTCTCTCTCACACATTCTACAGTTCAGAAACTTCAAGATCATCTACAGGCGCTATGCCGGCTTGTACTTCTGTATTTGCGTGGATGTGACAGACAACAACCTGGCGTACCTGGAAGGCATTCACAACTTTGTAGAGGTAACAGACACGCTCATACACAAGCACACTTGTCCCCAGCATCCTTCTGTTTTTGTATAGATAATATTGTTTCAGTAGCAATGTTTGCTCTGGTCCAAAATTCATTGTGCCAAATCCAAATTTGCCTTTTGCTTTTAGAGATGAGTCGAGAGGTTTAAAAGGCCACCAGCCACTTGAATCAGTCCTCCTGTAACCATTATCGGTGAACATGAATGCAGCTCATTCCTGAAGCACCAAGGACAAGGTTTATAGCAACATGCAATTTGGCAAATTTGGCCCAAAAGTATCCCAAAGCATGAACACTGACGTTTTTGACGTCAAACCTCAGCTGACATTCGACTGATGTGACCAGTTAAAAGGAGCACGGCGTTTCAGTAGGGTGCTGTGGCATTCGCGTTAAGCTCCCACTGTGCGAGAGGACAGCAGGAGGAATGCAGAGTGAAGGGGAAACTGCAGGAGTCTAAACTAGAAGGGCGCATGAGTTCAAGAGCTCTGGAACCTGGAATCTCATTACCCTCTCTCCACACTCATACACAAGCACACACACCGTATTCCGATGATTCTGGCGAGTAACGATTCTGCTAACCCAAAACCAGTTTATTTTCCAGTGTAGGAGACTTCTACAACACAGGGCAGACAATTTCGCTCTGCAATATCTTTTAGGGAGTATTTAATGTTGTTTACTGAAGGTTAGGTAAAGGCCAAGGGATTTTCCACTTAGCCACGTTGCAGATACAGGCACATGGGCCGTATGCTCCCCAGTTCGGTTCAAGCTGCGTTTAACGGATTATTCGTGGGTTTATCTCCCACGAACATATGAATGTACAGATGTGGGAATGATTGAGATGGTTACAGGTATCTGCAATGTGCACACACACAGCACAGGAAGCTTTCTGGTATTTATTTTGAAATTTTTGTTTTCAGGTTTTGAACGAGTATTTCCACAATGTGTGTGAATTGGATCTGGTGTTTAACTTCTACAAGGTAGGATATCTCACTGAAATGTATCCAACCTAGTTCTTTATTATTTTTTTTATATATATATATATATATATAAAATTATTTATTTTAAAAACATTCCCTAGTGGTGAGACAGAATGATCATTACGCAAGCAACTCTGTACCGAAGGGAGTTAAAGTAACTGTAGGTGGACACGAATATTTCTTTTGTATTACTTCAGTGGTGCCATGGCAACAAAGAAGCACTGCAGAATTATGAAAATCTGACAATTAAGTTTTAAATATGTTGCAGTAACAGTCAGTAATTAAGAGAGTCGCTATTGATGATTATTAATCACTGCTTCTGGTTTAATTGCTGGAGATATTTTGGAAGCCACCTACACACTAAACCCTAATAAAATGCTGCCGACATTAAAAAAAAAAGAACCTGCAGATTTGTTAGACTCCTGTGAGATATTTAAACACGACAGAAGCTGCCACTGCATTAAACATAAATTAATCTAAGTTGATTGTACTAATCAAACCATGTTTCCCACTAGCTAAATGGTTTGTTCCAGCCAGCTACTGAATATTGTTGCCTCATATGCTTTTAATTAGTTAAATTTTTTATGTATATGGATCGTTTAAAGGACAAATATATGTACGGCCTGTTGCTTTGGAGACTGATACAGCAGTATTTACATACCATTACAGAAATTATCATTAAGCCTTTTGAAAGCATGAAAATTAATAATGTAAAATTAACATATAACGCATTTGAAATTACAATTTTAAATTACTGTGAATTAATATGAATAATCCCTAATGATACCATTTGTGGACATTTTCAGCGGCATTCGCAAATAATCATGCAGTTTTCCTCATTACATGGCTGTGTAATTAGCTATACATTAAATGACCGATTCCCATTAAATGACTATTATTGAGTAGCCAGTGATGTACTATAAAACTGTCATTAGGTTCTTTACCATCCAGAAAGACTTGAATAAATATGTACAAGATGTACTTGTGGTGTACTGACCCCACCCTCACTGCATCTCAGGTGTACACCGTAGTGGATGAGATGTTCCTGGCAGGAGAGATCCGGGAGACGAGCCAGACCAAGGTGCTGAAGCAGCTTCTCATGCTGCAGTCCCTGGAGTAGGCGTTCTGCTCGGACAGCCCCTCCCCCTCCACGGTCCCCAATCAGCTGATAGCCCAGGAAGGCCCCTCCTTAAATCGACACTGAGGGACAGGCCTTGTGACCCGAACCACCCACTTTAGCAGAGTCCGTGTCCTGCCTTCCCAGAACCCAGTTAGATTCAGGAGTTCTTGTGCTTTTTTTTTTTCCTTCTTTTGTGCAGTGTCATGCTATACAGTTGAATGGAGCAGCAGTGTCCCCCCCCCCCCCCTCCGAAACACTACTACAGCTAATGAGCACCACATTGGCCAAGAGCTGCCTGCCTACCTGCGTCTCGCTGCCCAATCGTAGGAACGGGTCTGCTGACAGACATGGAAGTTTACAGCATTTACAATTTCAAAGTTTAAATTTAAAGCTTAATGTTACATAAACAATTACCACCCTTAATTCTCCCAGCCAGGTCGATGCTAAATATTTTTACTCGCTGGCTGTGTTGACTGGATGAAGGCTGTGCAGTTTCATGCTATTGCCGGTGTTCATTAGTTTGGTCCAACATAACACCTTCACCCCTCAAAGAAAAGGGGGGGGGGATGCCACTAAGTGGGAAAACCAGTTGCTGGGATGTGCCCTGCTTTATTCCATGGGACACATGCTGTGTTTGTTGTGTAATTCAGACTCAGTGTATCAGCCAATAAGGGACCAGGGATAGACTGGAGGGATGGTGCTGAGGCTGGGCCTTAAAGATCGAACACCAATCACCTGTAGCCATTTTTCTTTCTGTATTGTTTTTTTCTCCCTTTGAGTAATCTATAATCTCACTGCTTGACCTGAGCTTGTATATATCAGGTGAAATCATGGTGGGCTAGATCTGACTCGTACTTCCTTAGCCACACCACCCTGCACAGATGTGAAATAATCAAATACCTGAATAATGAAACTGCAAATGAACGATATATTTATGGCCTGCAACTGAAAAACGTGGCAGTCAATTAAAGTAGCTTAGAATGAGGGATAGAGTGAATCGCCCAGCAGGTGTGCCTGAAACCAGGTCCGGGCAGATTGTAGAATATGTCGGTCGTTAGTGCGACCTGAGCACTTTTGATTAAAAACAAATAAAAAGATCGGTGGCACTTGACTGAGTTACGACGTTTGTGCCGCAGCTCTCCAAGCCGTCCGTGGCTGTCGGGCTCAAGGCCGGTGCTGTAGGGGATCTGTGCTTGGAACCATGAGACAGACATCGCCGGTCCACTGGGTTTGACCTTATGCTTGGCCAGGTCTGTTAGTAGCGTGTTGAAGGATGCTGCCTCGACTGCCACCGGTTGGCGAAGATCAACAGCATGTCTTCACCAATTCTGGTCGCTCCATATAATTGCTCATCCCTTCTGCCAGCACACTTTAATAAACCACTAATCAGTCCCCTGATTAGTTTACTGAAGCATGCTTGGTGGTGAACCAGAAGTCGATGGCTAGGGGCCTGTTCAGGAATGGGTCGGAACAGGCTGGTCTGGACTTCAGCCAAATGACAAAAAAAAAAATCACCTTTTCTGCCCGCTATGGTGAAGAGGACCAAACTGTTTCGCCATACTGTCTGTTTAGGTGCAGCCAGCTACACACAGCAAGTTTTCCATGTTGCTTTTAGTATTATTTTTTTTTTGGTATTGAATGGGTCATGTACATGTAATGTTACACATGGCTAGTGATTCCCAGTACTACTCGTTTCCCCACCACCAGCGAGTGTGAGTGTTGCAAGGTGCTATTGTCATTATCCTGTTGCTGAAGTCTAATGCTATTCTCTTCTGTTGAACATGTATATATACAGTAAAAGTAAATGTAAAAGAATTTGCCTTAAGTATGCCGTTTGATTCAAGTAGCGATGTATGTTGTCTGAATTAATGGTATGAACAAAAACATTTATCCACCATTTCTAAGCATCGAATAACACTAACACAATATCAACAACAAAGTCAGCATAAAACATTGACGTGAGACATTTTGTAATCATGAATTTGATTTATTCTCGGTCTTGTTACAGTGGATTGCCAAGGAAAGTGGAAATTTCATTTTCCAAAATGTTATTAATGAAGTGCCTGGCAGATGATGACAGAGGTTACACAAGACAGCAGGTTTAATCGCCAGTGTGTGGGATGTCAGTTTGTTCTCAAAACCACTCAGCTGGGTAGAGTAGTGCCTGGTTCAGGGTATTGGTTTGTTTTTTAATCAAGTCTGCTGTTTCTAAATACCCGTCCCGTGGTCAGACATTATCAATGGCACATACTAATTATAACTAACCATTTTCTGTCATGAGCAACATACACCGTTAATAGACATCAGTAACAAAGAAAATATGTATTGCACCTATTGTTCTGTTGTATAAATCTGCCATCTAGTGGTCATGATAGATTTGCTCACAGTGAAATTTTGGGACTGTGAGAGATGAGTGAATCCACTTATCTATCCTGATCCACCGCTTATTCTCCCAATCCGTGGCAATGGACAAACATCCATAAAGGCGGATTACCGCAAATACCCACATAAAACGATCAGCCTTCCTTCATGATCGCTCTTCCCCTTTTCTGCGCCAGTTCCACAAGGCTCCTAGCGTAAAGGCCATCCCCAACGGCGCGTCCGGGAGATCCGGCGTCTTTCCTGATTGGACGAATCGGTATGGGAATGGGCTGGCGCTGGGTCTCCCACTGCGCGATGCTACGACAAAATCCTTAACCAAAGGGCATTCACAACCCTGCGGATCTCCTCAACGAGGCGAAGGGAAGGGCATGCTCACACGGACAGACGGGACATTGAGAGCGGACGAAGCACGCACATCTTCACGCCGTCAGAACTGAAGATCACGGCGAACGGTGAAGGAGCAAACGCAAAAACGTACAGCTCACACGAACAACCCCGAATGGAAATTACTTCCGTATACCAGCAAACACACAGATGAAACTGTACCAACATAAATATAAATAATCATTACCCAAAAGTGGTAATAAGACAAACATAAAAGCATTTTAGTTATAACCTGCAATCTTTAAAATTCACAAGCAACCCACAAAAACACTTTATATACATTATAGATGATTCTGATATATAGCAGTGATAAGATTACACTGGTTACTAAGTAACAATAGAGCATTTATCTGCAGGGTAAAGTGGGTAACTTCTGTCAAACAACAGACCAGGGAATTGGGGGGTGGGGTCCTATTTGAACCCAATACCACACGCACTTCAGTGGACGGATATGCATACGCTTTCTGCTACTGTGTGTCAGGTTTACAATCCACACAGTCTAATCCAGTTATTCCACAACCAACCACACTGTGCACACAGAGTAATGGCAAATTGCAAAAATGTCCTCTGGAGCAGAGCAATAAGATTCAGCAAAGTGCTGGTTAGAAGGTGTTTTCAATGTGTCTGCAGTAACACAGAACAAAACTCTTCTGGAATGTTCCAAGTCCACTGGCTCTTATAATTATACGTTTACTCTTTTTCAAATCCAATTTGGGATATTATTAGCTGCTTTACAAATTCTTAAAACAATAATACTACTGCACAAAAAGAGCTGGGGGAAAAAGAAATATTCTTTATAAATAATGCTACACAGTCACAGTATTAAGACACAGTTGCACAGTAATTTTATTTCCCAGTTAACTGGTTCACCAAATCTTCACAAACACTTAGACCTCCAGTATAACCATTTCACCTTGAAATGGGGTGGAGAATGCAAGAACTGGGAGTGTTATCTTAAGTGAAACATGGCTGAATCTTACCACCTTAATACCAAGGAATTCTCAGTTTCACCAGTTCACAGGAATTATTTAAAAGCGTAAGCACGTTCATTCAGTCAGACGTATTTTACACTTTATATATATATATATATATATATATATATATATATATAATTAACCTTTTTTTTTTGCATATACCCCTAATATATGTTATATTCCAGGCAAAAAAATTTAAAACGCCTTTAAACCAAAGACCATAATTAGACAGGAGAAAGACTTGTTTTCCTACAAACAATGCAGCCGTGAATGTAAAACTCGCAGTAGTACACCCCTCAAATAACAGCAGGACAACGAAAATTACTATGGTGTGGGGGTGGTGAGGGGTGGATGCAGCCAGTAAATTTCCTTTTGTCACGTTAAGGTGTGTATAGAAAAAAAAGAGCAAAATCGCCAATTAATGACAAACTAAACTTGAGTGGAGCCATTCAAGTAAACAAATACTGTAGGAGTAAAGCCACAAGGAGGAGGGCCAATGACTGGGGAGGGGGGGGAGAGATATTACCAAGCCCAGCTGATGTGAATCAGCCCCTGCAGCCCAATCAGTGACGGGAATAAATCACGACCAATCAACAGGCTCCTTTTTGGTAGACTGCAGCACAGTAACACAATGACAACATTACATACGCGCCAAATAACTATGTACAAGCAGTCACACTCTCCCTTTTTTAAAAACTGAATAAATTCGCCATACCTTGTGCTTTTAGTAGACTGCCCTACGGTACGGTAATATCTATACAATATTGATCAATCTGGGTGAAAATCAAAGGCCACAGAACTGGAAAATGTTATTTCTTTGCAAAAAAAAATATAGTAAAGAAAATACAGCAGTTACCCAACTGACCAACTTGAGGGGGAAAAAACAATTTAAAAATTCCATTTCTGCTCATGAAACATTCTGCGACATCTGCCATCAACCAGCGTCCTGCGAGTGCCCAGGGACACAGAACTGACACGAGACCACCCACCAGCGTCGGTGTGTATCTCCTAACCCTAACCCACCAGCGTCGGTGTGTATCTCCTAAGATTAACCTGTCTTTTGTACCACAGCTCTGCAAAGGGTGACAGCCACTACAAGTGGAGCCGTATGGTGAGAAAACATCACAGAAGATTTTAGGACTAGAAGCCCCAAATGCTATTGCACCCCCCCCCCCATCTTAAAAAGGTCTGAAATAAAAATGAGAGCCGGTTTGGAGTGACTGGCATATACATAAATATATATTTTAAACACACGCTAGTCGACAACTCGTTTAGAGATGGTAAGAGTGGCCTTGGAACAAGGAACATGAATGATCGGTAGACCACCCCCCCCCCCCCCCCCCACAGGAATCCTTACCCTCCTCAAACCGGCCGCCACCAATTGCGTGTGAAAATCAGAAATCGCTGCGTATGGTCCTGGAAGGAGTCGAAACACCCATCACGTGAGGGGCCCGGGGCCCGGGGCCCATGAGAGGTATGGTGTCGAACCAGAAATCACCACCTGCCCGGCCCCCATGGGATCTGTAAGGGTGGGTGTCAGGTGGGGTGGAGGGGGTCAGGGGAGGATCATGTGCTTCCAAAAGTCTGGGGTCAGGTGCAGGATCTTCGATGGGGCGGGGGTGTGTGTTGGGGGGGGGAGGAGGGGTGTCAAAGAGCATGGTGGGGAGTCCTGCACACCGAGCCACAACCAGGAGCTGGAAGACAGACAGAGGGTGGGGCAGGATTAGTGCACCGTGCCACCGACCAAGGCCCCCCACCCCCCCATTCCCTCAGTGCATTACTGTGCATTCCTGCGTCATTCCTCGGCAAAAACACAAATATAGCGGTAAACACGATTTTTAGCATTTGAAAAGGCACCGGCTTATATAACAGCAAATGGCCGTACAAACGTTCATAAAGTTCTTTTGTTTTAAATTAAAATTATTTAAATGACCAAGTGAGGTGTCTACCGCATGCTGCTTAAGGTCTATTTTGCCGATCTACATCATTTATCATAATGTGTAATTAAATATCCAATTAAATGCCCTCATTCTCCTATGATCTGTTAGTGAGAAATTCACAGCAGCGTTTTAAGTCTGATTCTTTTCCCTTCATTATTCATCGTGCTTTTCAATTAATTATATAATTTAATGAATTTGTAGCGTGGCAACATTATGACATTTCACAATTGCTGCTATTTTAGCCTGCAAGGGATGGAAACTCCAGGCTGTAGCAGCCAGATTTAAAATCGCCACACTTGTGTTCATTTACATAATCATTCTATAGAAACTGCAGCCCTCGAAAACTCATGTGACACATTAACTTTAAGCCAGAAATACAGCTCTTAAAATGAAAATATAAAATTATACGTCATATGTCAAAATATTAACAGACATCGGCATTGCCGATTATAAGTGCGAGAGAGAGCATGGTGCTGCAGTGGACAAAACCAACCTGGAGGGGGCGCCCTGAGCATCTGGGAGTAGGGGGCCAGGCCCTAGCAGTTACACTGCTGCTTGGTCGGTGCCGTGGTGCCTCTGGGCTGGCGGAGTTGCCTTAGTGAGGCGTCACCGTACTGGATCCCCGAACCCATCCGTTCTGGGTCGAGCTCACCTACGTTAGAAGGACATTCACATATTTAAATAGCCTGAATTAAATTCGTATTATTCGCAAAGCATTATGTATTTGCATACTCAAATATACACATTATAATTTATTGTATAAATACAAAGTTCAGTGTACTATCATTTATACCAGGCTGTGGAAAATACTATTTTCTTATTGGTCCGGAGATGTCACATGAGTGTCGTAATTATTTTCGCGTACATGTAGTTCCGGCAGCTTACTAACAGTTCTATATTAGTGTGCGCTAATTTCATTAGTGGTACATATTTATGCCTTTTAAGCATGCTAATATAAAAACCCTTGTGATTTTTACACATAAATAAGGAGTCATTCTTTTCAGCATAATTTTCCGTGATTTTCAAAATGCCGGCGCCTGCCTGTTGATGGTTTCTACGGCAACTTAATGGACTTTCCGCTTCCAGCGAGAAGCCTGAGCAGATGATCTACCCTTATAGGGACTATATTTTTAACAGCAAATTGGAACATTATAAGGGCGGCACGGCAGTGCAGTGGTTAGCAGGTCCTGGGTTCGATCCCTGGGTCACCCAGGGTGCCTGTCTGTGTGGAGTTTGCATGTTCTCCCCGTGCATGTTTGGGTTTCCTCCCACAGTCCAAAGACATGCAGCTTAGGTCAACTGGCTACTCTAAATTGCCCATAGGTGTGGCTGTTTGTCTGTGTTGGCCCTGTGGTGGATTGGCGACCTCTCACCCAAAGATGCTGGGATTGGCTCCAGCTTCCCCGCGACCCAGATGTATTAAGCGGTATAGATGGATGGATGGATGGATCGAACATTATTAAATGCTAATTGAAATAATATTCCTTGGAAAAATTTACCGTGATTAATTTATTGTATTATTATTTTTTGTTCATTAGTCGTGGTATTAGCGAGATAAACCACAACGAGGATTGCGCTAATACGAAAGTAATCAGCTCCAGCTCATCACTACACGTAGTTGTATTTTTGTACAACCGCACACCTCGTCATGATTTATCCGTTATTTATCTAACCCAAAGTTACTTATTGCAGCCTGTATCTGGATGATGTAGTTTATTGATTACTGGTCAGAAATTTACCCACTACATGACCTGCACAGTGAACCTTACCTAAACGAGATTAGACCCAAACAAAGGATTTTTTTAGTAGTGTGAAAAGGCAAAAAATGACCCCATTTTACAGGCATGAGTGAAAGCGGCTTAAGACATTCTCGCCTTGGTGCCCCGCAAAGCTCTACTATTAACACCAGCTATTTCAGCTCCAGAAAGATATTTACCAAATATCAGTCTGAACCTCTACAAAACCAAGCTGGTCATGGCCACAAGTAAATAGACTGCGCAGAGGGTACACACCTGACTCGATCTTGTTGAGGATGGTGCGGGCACACTTGAGGAAGGCCTCCTCCACGTTCTCGCCCGTCAGCGCGCTGGTCTCCAGGAACATCAGCTCTGTGCGGCGGCGGCAATAAGAGAGGGCCGAGAAGCGCGTCAAAAGAAAGGTTTATGCGACTGGGGGTTAGCCATCGACTAAAATGACCCTGATAACGGGGGGCGGGACTAAATGGAAGGGGGTCACGTTAAAATGCCGGGAACAGCAAGGGCTGGAGGGAAGAGTCAATATTCAGAGAGCAGAGGCGACTCATAGGCTAATCTCCCGGGGGGAGGGGCTAGGCTTGCCCCACTGAGCATTTTGTGTAAAATTAAATAAAGAAATAAAAATTAACAAAAATTGTAAAATAAATAATTCATTGTACATGTATTTAGTATAACACATTCATATGGCTAACACAAATCACATTTTTAAACATCACTTAAATATAAATATAAATACATTTTATTGAATTAAGAAACTTAATATGTTAATTTCCATCTGACCAGTAGGGGGTGCAATTGGACCCTCTGCAGCCCTGGTAAAATCACCTACGGTTGAGGGGCAGTACTGAGTACAAAGGTCAGAGGTCAGAGAGCAGTAAGCCAGTGAGTCTGCGTTAGCGCCCTAGCACCCCACAGCCAAAGGATAATGTGGGGAGGGAGTGGGAGGGGGCGCTGGGTGCTTACCATTCTCCTGGGCAAAGCGTGAGGCCTCCAAGAAGGTCACCTCCCGGTCGGCATCCAGGTCCTTCTTGTTCCCACACAGGATGATGACGATGTTAGGGCTGGCCAGCGTCCTGGCGTCCGTCAGCCAATTGGTCAGAGCGTTGTATGTCTCTCGGCTGATAGGCCAGCGCCATGGAGACAGCAGGACAGATAGATACAAAGCCTCAACAGAGTACCACCTAATCGACTTCAGGCTGTTGATTAAACCCCGTCGGCAGGGGACACTTTATTAAGGCCCTGTCAGATTGCATTACAGCCTTCATGCCATTCGACTACCATGACGGTGCCCCGGTAACTGCCTAAAGGACTTGGACTTTATTAAACGAAACACCGCCTTCATCGCTTCACTTCAGCCTTTGTGGCAGAGAGCATCCCGTCCAAGTCGCGCACCTTCGCCGGATCTGCTATCGAGATTTCTGAAGTGAGGAGGGAGATGCCGGCTTCCATCTCGCCCGTTCAGTAACATTAGTCTTGCTCCAACGGGCCTGTTTTTCGAAACGTGCCGCTGGGCTTTTCTGAAAACTATTCAAAATGTGTTTTTCTTGTTACCTTGTGATGTCATAGACCAGGAGAGCTCCGGCTGCCCCTCGATAGTAGCTGCGAGTCACTGACCTACGACAAACAGAAGCGATACAGCTTTTGTCTCTTGATAGTGCCGCTTATTTGAAACAAACCCTTTCCAGTCACAATACTCCCAATTTATCTGAATGTACTTGCAGAGTTTGCAAATATCACTCCTTGATTTGTACCCAGAAGGCTCCAAACAGCTTTGCAACTCATTTGGGTCTCGCCCTACTAGCCAAAACGGAACCCCCGTACCTAAAGCGCTCTTGGCCGGCCGTGTCCCAGATCTGAAGCTTCACTGTCTTGCCGCCGACGTTGACAACCCGTGAGCCAAACTCCACTCCGATCGTGTGGTTCGAGTCCTGTTTGACTGGGGTGGGGTCAACAGCAGAGAGCTGGACTGTTACACCGATATCATGGACAAAGCACCATTCTTACAGGAACAAGAACCATACACTGCTTCCATACGGGCACACAGGTACGCTCTCCCTGCCAGCCTTAATGCTACGATGAACATGTATCAAGAGGAAGGATCAGAGGGGATCAGAAAAGAGATCTGAAACTATAGCCAATTATCCACCTTCCCCTACAACACAATAGAGTGCGTTAAACAGCCCAGAGTTACCAAAAAGCAGAACTATGGAGCTTCCAACGATTCCACGCATAAAAAGCCCTGCATGTGAATCTAGGAAATGAGGCGAGAGGCTCATGAACATGCTGCTGCCCCCAAACATACAAGTGCAAGCAGAAGCCAACTCGACGTACACTTGCTCTCAATGAACTGGTGCAGGAGGCAGGACTTCCCTGTCCCCGCGCTGCCGATCACCAGGAACTTGAAGAGAAAGTCTGCAATGAGAGGAAAAACAAAAACAAAACACATGAATTCAGCACCAGGTCAATTTCAGAGCTGCCTCTTATTATTCCTTCACTTAGGATTTTATTTGAAGCTACTCACCATTTTTACAGAAGGATATTTTATAAAGCACCTTTACTTAGTCCTATGTAAGTTGGTCTGCAAGCTCACCTACTTAACCATCCCCGTAATCAGTTTAGCCTTAATTATCACTTAACTAAGCTTTCCGGTTATTCCCGCCATTGTGAATTTGCATGCTATCATTGTGGCCTTTACATTCTCTGTGCAGGAAAACATTTCTCTGTACATTTAGCCCTATACTCATGCTTACAATGGGCTTTAGATCCACTGACCACAAGACTACAGACGCCAAATATAAACAAACAAATAAACAGGGTATTTCTGTTATTGAAGCCAGCTGACCGCCGTGTGTGTGCCAAGGATAGAATAAATGCTATTTCACTGCTGAACTTGGGCAACAGTACTTATATAAATAGTGTCTGCATTTAATTACTAACTGGACCAATAAGGCCATGGGAAATGGTGGATAAAAGCCCGTGTGCACATCCTGCAACTTCCCAAGGAGTTTGGAAGCATTTCTCCAGGTCTTCCAGCCTCCCATGCATTTGGTCCACAGGACAGTTTGAGTGACCCGTGGCTCAAAGGCAGGTTCTGCATCCTGAGGCATCAGAAGACCTTCACTAGCAACCCCTTGCCGCTCGAATCAGAAATACACACCCTGAGCCCGGGGGAGGATTCACTCACATCCACGTGAGCGTGCCGACCATCAGACTCAATGCATTAAGTAGAGCTGGGAGCCAAACGCAGACACGAATCAGTCGGCCAGTTAACGAAATTAGCCCATAGAATGCAGAAAACATATATGCGATAACTGACTAAAATCAAAGCCACGTCCAGCCCAACATTATCCTGTAATTGAAAAGAAAAGTATTATGTCTGAATAAAAAAGTAGAGGATTCCCGTATTATACAGAATAATTATGCAGGTTGCTGCAGAGATGAAGATAATCAATGCTACAGAGGTCTTGCACTTACTGTTTTCATTGCTTTTTGAATGTTTTTAAGTATTCTATACTACACAATCAGCGACTATTGCAAAACACTAGGATCGAAGACATGTTGACACTGGTGCTCTTAACAGTAATCTGGAGTAAATACTTAATGATGAATACACGACTATAAAAATACATTATTTAGAGTACTAAATGCCTGCGTAGATGACGTGATCTTGAGTTCAAGCAGGCCAGCACCCACTGCCCCTGACATCTCCGCCTGATTTCTGCGGGGGCAGCTAAAAGTCTGAATCCCTGACAAAAGGAAAATGGGAAAACACCCCCCCCCCCCCACCAAAAAAAAAGATAAAGTAACTTAATAAAGTAAAAGTAAAGAACAGGGCCGAATTATTGGTCTCTGAACTCGTCAGCCTGTAAGTTACTGCAGGTAAGAGACAATTGAATTAGAGGAAGACAGCAAACAAATAATAAGAGAACAAAATACAGATCAGTTTGGACAGAACCAAAGTTCAATGGATATGATCAATTCATGTTAAAGCAATATGAGGAAGAGCAGGAGATGAGTATCTTTTACATCTGAAAGTGAGTCTGGGCAGGGATATTGCAGAACTATTAGTCAAGCTAAAGTTTAACTGTCCTCTTGCCTGCCACCTATTCCTGCTGTCTAAAAAATTCTAGCCCCATGACTGACGCGAGTCCCCACTGCACACAGACTATTTAAAATGTGACAAGCAATAAAACACGCATGTCATTTAATCACTTATTTTTTTGACACCAAGAAGTACCCTGTCTTTAGATCTCTGGCCTTTGAGATAATCGGGAAAGTCAGGAGGACCTTGTTTTAAGTACAGCTCAATCATACATTACTCTGTCTAATTAATTTGGCCTATCCCAATATGTGGGCACTTATCTGCAAAAGCTTACCAGTGGCTTACTGGTGTAACTTTCACCCAGGCTGACTGAATTCCATAAAGATGAAAGAAGCAGAACCAAAATCGATGGAGACAATAGCGGGGTCTCTCGCTGGCATTAATGCAAAACCATTAGCATGAGGAAGTAGCCTCTTTACTAACAATACGTGCAGCCTCTATTACATTCCATGTAAGGGATAGCTGAAGTGCCTTCTGCTGGATACAAGGCGTCATCGATATCCTTGCAGTTACACTTTTCTTCGGTTTTCATTTCAGGGAAGATACTTGAAGATACCAGAGAAGGTACCAGACTATAACATAAAGACCCCCCCCCCCCAAAATAAAGCACGTGGGTCTTTCCTAGGATTAACAAAGTCGGCACGTGAGCAGGAGGTACTCATCATGTTACAGACTGCATTACAAATAGACGGCTCGAAATAGGATCATTTGTAAATATTTTTTTAAGCTGCAGCGCCTGCTACAAATACGGGGGACTCCATTTAGTAAAATCGAGCAACATTACAGAAATAGTGTAGCAGTCCATCTGGATAACGTCGGCCGTCAAAATGGTTAATATCCGAAGGCGTAAGCAGAGGTTTATCCACGATCCGCCACTGTCTGGTTAGTTTTCCCCACTCAGACACGGTGTTGATACAGGTTCATCCTAATATAAGTCATTCAACCTGTTCACATTCCTACACACAGCGCTGCTCCTGTCAACTAATGCGGTGCTGACCGGACGGCAGAGGTCGTTTGATTTAAATTGTTCACTTTAAAGACGCCATTTATGAACCCGAGCTATCAGTTCAGACCGATGTCGCGATTCGGTGGCCTACACGACTCACTTAAAAAGTATATTATATGCAACTGCTTTAAATATCACACGATATTGGTATCTTATTGTCATATAAATAAAGACTGGCAGTGGATCGACAGCTGATACTTTAACTAGAAGGTTGACGGGGAGGACCGGAAATAAAAAACACTGATATCGTTATTTGATATTTGTAAAACTATCGATCGCTTAGCGAAGTTCCGGAAATACATGTGTTTCTTAATATTTAGCTAGCTAGCTACCCAGAACCAAGTTCAAATAACTTTGGGTGGCTACATATACCATTTAAAAGAGATTAAGAAAAGGGCATCTTTGCCTCCACTGTCAGAACAGAACGCTAAACTGACATGCAAAGTTGTCGATTCTGGAAATAAAACTACATTCTCGGATGATGAAGTGGTATAATGACATCCTGAGCCGGCTGTTGTTTTTACACTGACATACCGTATGTTTCTGACATGTCGGTCCCCGCTGACAAAACTTCGAATTTAAACCGACAGGATTCTCCGCTTGAAAGGGTGGCAATATGACTAAATAAAACAGGCTGTGATTCTGTATTTTTTTCAGTTAATCTTATAATATAAGAAGCAATGTCTGCCTTTCGATATGGATGGCTATCTTCATAACGCTTCCTACATACGACAGGCACGCATGCGTGATGACGTAATACGCACGGACGCGACGGGTGTACTTTTCCCAACATGTAACTGGAGTGTATCAAACGACAGTCTTCGGTAATAAGATCAGTAATAATGTATTACGTTATATACGTTATAATACTTTGCCAAAATGTTTGAAACTAAGACAAGTAGTCCATACGTCAGTTAAAATCATGCATCATCACGGTATACAATGCATAGTACACTTCAACATATAAATAATGTTATAAACGTGGGAAATTATATAAAGAAATTATATAGCAATGTAAGTTTCCCAGAATGTTGTAGATAAAAATAGATGTTCTGCTATTAAGCAAAGCAAGAGACGACCAAATACAACAAAAAATGTGAAAAATGTAATTGCTCTAACAGTCCATAAGGGGGCATGCACTGCAGTGATATGCATTGGCATGCAGACAAATGTACAGTTTTAAGACGAATGTAAATACTTGCAAAGCGCAGTAAATGTAAGCGTTTTTTTTTTTTTTTTTTACTGTAAACAGCACCAGAGCAAGGCTTTTAACCCCGTCCTCCGCCAAACGATCCAGGGGTGCTAGATGAATGGCCTCACTCTGTGCTTGACCTCTATAAGTTTTGCTCTCAACTGCATGTGTTTATGTGTGTGTTTCGAAGGGCAGCAAGATATGATATGTGAAAAAAACATCCCAGTCTATCTATCTATCTATCTATATATCTATCTATATTAATTGTTCATGCAGAAGAAGGTGCCCATCCCTGGAAACACAAGGCAGCAGACATCTTGGATTGGATGCCAGTCCATCAGAGTGGGCACTCTCACACACGCTAGTACAGGCTGGATTGGTTGGATATACTACAGTGCCTGGGGGAATCCCATGGGAAATGGGCAGAATATCCAATCCATAGTACTTATATAGATGCAGATAGTACATAAGGTAATGTATTTTTTTATTTTTATGTCATTGTGTGTTGGACTGTAGCTCTAGGATATTTTGGTAATACACTTTTCTGTTAGAATGTCTGATTATTCTGTAGAATATTGTTATCATCGCAATCATTATGAGTTTTGCAGTGAGGGTTGTGGTTTAACTCAATTGTCTTAAGTGACACTCGTGTTGTGTTTGGCTCATCAGGTTAGATCGCTGTACTTATAACCTTAACATCACTGGTTCAAATCCCAGCTAGTGAAAGTTTCCTGTCTTGCTGTTGAGCAAGGCCCTTAACCTCCAGTTGCTCTTGGGACTGTCTAGTCATGGTCTCACGAAAAATGCGTATTGCTTTGGGTAAATGTGTCTGCTAAATTTGTGTAAACAAAATAGGACTATTACTATCACAAAAATTACATGAGAGTACTCTCCGTTGCACTGGGATGCTTTCTTTTTAAATGCTCTTTCGTGCACATCGTTCTACTCTGCTATATGCCATTTTATCTTTGCATATTTCACCGCGTCCATAACCGTGTTCAACTTCTGCGAAAAAATGCCAGACCTCACACTTTCTGTTTAAATCGACACATCACTAGATGCCGCTGTTGTCACCCTGTGTTAAGAATAGAGACTTAAATCGGAAAGTATTGTAATTTCTCAACTTGCGGAAAAGCTGTTATGTATAGTTCGACTGCGTCTTTTTCATTCGAAACATTTTCATTCTTTAACTTATGAAATTATCTGTTGCAGCCGTAATTGTGCCAGTGAAAGACAAAGCAATCATTATTTAATGTGTGCTTTTTGCCGCTAGGATTATCAAGCATACAATGTATAATAACGGCAATGTCAGATTTAATTAAAACATAATAGGAGAGTCAGTATGTTATCAACCTATTCAATCAATCATTTTTTGTCCCAGTAGTGGAAAAAATAACATGCCACATGTCAAGCTAATCTCTGTCAGGCAGTTGCATGTCGAGGCGTCGGGCAATTACGTCAGCCTGGATTTTAGTCTGAATGCAAATGATTCTGAGAAGTTTTTAACAGGCCTTATGTTACACTTTCATGCACGCATGGGGATGATTTTTACGGGCGCAACACGTGGAAGGATCAAAAATTCATCGCTCAGCCTTTTGTATGGCGTCTGACAGACATATTTATAATGCAACTTAATGGGATATTAAGGTTCCTGATCCAAACTTCACATACTCACAAATGACAGAAGAGTTGCTGATCTGTTGCCATAAAATGCAGTTCGTGCCGCAAATAGTTAAAACCATACATTGCTGTACAGATTCCGAATTGGCGTGAACATGTTGAATGTTTAACCGCGTCGTCTGGCGATCACATATGATTATATCAACGCTCGCTCTTGTATTATATTATTTTCAAAATGGCTCACATATTTAATCACGCAGGGCTCGTAACTGATTTCCTGGAAAAAAAAAGTTTTATATGCAAGTTTGTGTTCAGTTGTTTTTCTATTTCTGTAAAAAAAAAAAAAAAATCAGAGGCAGTTACATAATAAGTAGGGCGCTTCGCCTGAAGTATAGCTATACGTATTGTCGATGTCTACTTTTTACCTTGTCAGGAGTCTGACATTTTCTATCACACAGGAAGCATTTTAGACATTGTCTTAAAATAGTGCAAACGTGAAAACCCACTTGGACTTTGCTGGCGGGGTTTAACCTGTGGATGGGCGCTTTAGAACGAAAAAAAAATAGATCAGGGTTGAGTTTCCCGAAGCCTTCATAACGCTACGTCGACTGTAAATTCTGTCTAGAACATAGATCTAACATAGATCTTACAAACGACGTAGCATTAAGAAGGCTTCGGGAAACTCGCCCCAGGTCAGGGTGGATGGTGACTGCTGGAGAGGCTGGTGTCCTGAGCCTCTGCTTACATGGATGCTGTTCTCGCCAGCTTCAAAGCTGCCGCATGGAGGCCCAGCCAAAGGCAACAGGTGACAGATTACAGAGCCCTCTTGCCACTATCCTGCATGTTTCCTTTCTTTCTTTGTTCTTCCTTGGCGGGTCCTTTTTTTTTTGCCTCTTCCACCCCCACCCCTCCCCCCTTTAAAGGCCTTTTACAGAGGTTAAAAGGAGGGGATCCCAAAGGAAGTCCATGTCTGTTCTGCTTGTGAGGGCACGGATGTTTTGTTAAGCCTGTTTAAACTCTAAAAAGAGGAGGAAAAAGGTGCGAGTCAATGGCCCACTAACCTCAACCTGTCTCCCCATTTCTCTCTGTCTTTTCCGTGTCGAGGGAGTGGGGGAGGGCTTCAGATTCTTTCAATTTGGGGCACTTTGAGTCTTTGACTTTGTCAAAACCCCTGCTGGTGAACAGAAACTCAGGGGGGGTCAGTTCGGTGTGCCACATGCACATAGTCTCGTTCGTGCACTGCGAACAAACGGCAGCATTCACTTTAGTTCAGATCCCATCCATTCTGAGAGTACATCACAACAGACGACATCACTGCTGTGAATCGGAGGCGCCCCCTTGCATGGTGGGGTTGGGGGCGGGGGCTGAGCAGGCACAATCGATGTTCAGCAGAACCTTCTGGCAGAAATGAGTCATTTTCCAAATGGAATCATGTTCCACCAATGAATCACCAGCAGAATACAGGTGTCTGCGTTTCGCTGGGCCTGTGGTCTGTGTTGGAAAACAAGCCGCAACTTTCATAAATCAGCTTTTCATTACCAAAACATTTCAGTCTGCCTACATTTGTTGGGGCTGATTCTTAGGCTCAGGTGGACTTGATATACCTCAGCTATGTTGCTGTTCTTGTGTGATATTCTGGGTTTCCCTGTATACCCTAACTCCCTCCCCCCAGACCTGTTTTTCATGTTAAATCCCTTTGTGTATGAGTAGCATGGTGCCCTCAGAGGATTGGCATCTAACACCAAACAGGCAAGCAGTTACAGAAAACAAAGGGTGTCGATACACGGGGCAACTTTTTGCAAGCAGGTACAGGAAACAAAGGGTGTCGATACACGGGGCAACTTTTTGCAAGCAGTTACAGGAAACAAAGGGTGTCGATACACAGGGCAACTTTTTGAGTTGCTGGGCAATGTTGCTGACAAATGTTGCTCAGACATTTTCCCATTGATATCGGGCCACAAATTTCTATTTCAAAAACTTCAATCAGCAACTGGCAACTTTTCACAATCACCCAGATCCTATCTGGCAATCATCAAGAAGTCGACTTGTGGCGCTTTTCCACTGGCAACAAGAACTGAGCCGTACCCAAACTGTACCATGTACTGGTGCTTTTCCATTGTAAAGTATGTGAGCCGTACCCAAGCCGTAACTGCACTGACATTGCTCTGCTTACCAGCAGTGCCGAAAGCAAGACCACACTGAGCTGGTTGTGTGACCAACATCTGATTGGTCGAAAGGCACAGCAATACCGGTGTTCTGTGCAAGGATTATCTGAAGGAAATAGCATATATTCTATATGTTATTCATTTTTAGTAATAGCGGACATCACGATGCATTCCCAAAAACCTGAAACTCCAACCTCCTGCTTAAAGTGCCACAGAACAGCTGAACAAAGTGAATGCTAATTCCGCTAGCATTTGAAACTTGGATTGCATGGCGTTTCGCCCAGATGTGCTAGCAGAAATTATCACACAGTTAAAAAAATAATAATACTTGCACATTGTAAATCGTGATGTATATTGTGTGAATAGAAAAAAAAATAATCTTTTCAGTTTTAAGTCACAAACTCAGCAACCTTTTGCAGTGCAAAACCTAAGCAAGCTGGATCTATGCTGTAACTAATCTCTTCGTAGTACGGCTTGGGTACTGATCGATTCCTGTATGCCGTTGGAAAAGCGCCATTTGATAAAATGTTTTCCCGCTCCCACAGAGCAATAAGGAAACGTGATCATTTGTTCAAATTCATATTTATTTGCCTTTCAAAGCATGCCGTTCGATAGGATGTGTACATAAGGTGTGTTCAGAAGTGCCATATGTTTACCTATGACTTTTATTCTGGAAACAAGGCCAGAGCATGTAGGGGGTTAAGGGTTAAGAGTGCATGCAAGTCAGGGCATGTCTCGGGCATATTTGCCCCCCCTCCCCCAC